ACAAATGAAGACGTAGCAACTGAAGGTAGCACACAAAAACCAAAAATAGAAAAAGAGATAAGAAAAAAGGCGAGAAAAAGTCAAACAAAGAAAAAGCCCACATAGGAATACCTCGCTAGCTTTAGGGACTCTCTGCCACAACAAACAACCTTCTTAAAAATCTAACACCCTGAGACATCAAACAAACCTCCCACGACACTAATGTATGGCATTCCTATTGTCCAATAGGTTTGCCCAATTTAGACTTCTAAATAAATGGACTTTTCACCGTTAAACCAAAACTCACAATCATTAACAGTTAATGCAAAGACATACATTTCTGAGGCCAATCACAGCATTTAAGCATAATTTTTAGTAGAAAAGAACAACTAAGTATTTAGCTAAATGATATAATAGAATGGACACAATCTGCTACCTACTAATGATATAAACGTGTACCGGTACCATCGTTGTATCCTGACTTGCCATTTGCAACGGGCACTTTGAAAGACAGCTGCATTTTAGAGAATAAACACCCATAAGGCGTTACGAAACCAAGCTTAATCCAAAATCTTCATATTCCACTTCGAAGACTCCATTTTCAAAAATAAGAGAGTTTAACATGTCAAATCAATCATTTGAAAAATCTCAAACAACTATTAATCAATGCAATATAATGGCACGTTCCAAATTATGTACTTGTAGGAATAATCCCAAATAAATATCAATTAATGCCCCAACTACCTAATGTGCAGAATAGCCCTGGAGCTGTGCTGTTGTTTGCGTTGGTCTACCTTCAAACATAACATAGTTGCATCACGAACCAAAGCAATTAAGCAAAAATCTTCATATTCCAAGTAGAATGACTCAATTCAATTTGGCCAACGCTTTATACATATTGTTTACCCCTGGACCTGTTGCACTTGCGCCTTCAGATCTTCGTGAACACAATACAATTGCGGAGAGGAGGCTGTCAACGGAATAAAAATTGTTAATTAAGTGAATCACCATACAACTAAACAAACGCGCTCTTCTTGATTAGCTATCAAAATAGTGGGGGTCGCTACAATCCATCGGTTGCTCCCTCTGCGCCTAAGTTGTAGATATTAGGTTTCAGTGAGAACTTTGAGTACATGAGGATATATTTTGTAGTGGAGGAGATGACCCGGCGAGTAGAATAGGAAGATTTGGAGAGGCTGCGATGGGCAAAGCAGTTAAAATCGAGATTTTACCTAAAATCGAAAACTGGGGTAAAATCAAAATCGTATAATCGAATCGTAAAATCGTAGGATTTTAAGTACCATATAGAACATAGCATATAAGAATATTAATAAGGTAAATTATTAATATCACAAAGACACATAGCATTTAAAATGATAATTTAGAAGATTTTTTTTCCATGATATAATTCTCAAGATTAATGTTCCAAAATCACTATTTTAATTGTTATTTAATGTGTAACTCAAAATAATTCATGATGAAGGGATATAGTTCATGGGTTTGGCTCTTATTTTCATGTTATGTCTAGGTTGTTTAACTCAAAGTAATATTTCGACATCGTTTACTAAGTATGATTTAAAAATAAAAATAATTGAACTCCAATAAAATAAGTAATGTTAGTGGCTTGGTACAAATATATTCATTAATAAATTAATTAGTTAATAATGATGTTAGTTCTTAGTTCTTACATACTTCCAATATTAGGACAGGTGTTTTACCAATAAGTTAAATGGGGTGAAGGGAAAGAGATTAACCGAACCCTAATTTGGTTATTTTTATTATTTTTGAATATTTTTCTAATAGATAAATATCTGAGAAGATTCCATTGCCCTTTCCGCTGAAACAGTTATACTTATTTTAAATTGGCTCAAACCACCTATTTTGTTCACTTACGATCAAAATCCCGATTTCGGTACTATTTTACGATTTTAACGATTTTAGTCCCGATTTTAAACGATTTTAAGGTCCACCGATTTAAGGGATATAGACCTGTCATTGTCCTACAAATTCATTAACACGCCAAAAAGTGGTGAAATGAGTCACCCTATTAAACACAATCTTGTATAATGATCATTGGATCCAATCATGCCAGATTATGAAGAAGTTTAAAATGTAGCGGTTATCCCGACTAAAACATTAAAAGAACCAGTCTCATATAGTTTGCACAAAGACATAATTTCTCCATAGTAATTCTGAAAAATAATATTAATTTAAGAAGTTGATATTGCTTCTACATGTTTAATATTGCAATTCGATATGCAATATTCGAACCAGTGATATTTGGGCTGCAATTTTAGGGTTATTGTATATTTATAAAATAGATAGAAATTTAAATTAAGTATTAAACTACAACTAAAATAATCAAAGTATTAAAACACCAAATAAGTACTTACGGGAGATTCAGTGGCCAACTAATCGTTAAAAAAGTCATATGATTTTCATAATTTAGGTTCGTGTATGCTTGAATTTAAATAGATACAATAAATATACTTAGTGTGATTGGTTATGATCATTGCTTGCCTTTAAAGAGACCAATGTTCAAATCCCAGTGCATGCCTTTTTTATGAATAAATAAATAAGAAAATAAGCAATTGTGAAGACCAAAATGTCCTTCCTATAATCACTCTCGTTGCAGGAAATTTGAAATGGAGCAACAGTTTTCATCATTCGGCTTTTATTTATTATCTAGATAGACTAGAAATGCGAGCCAGCCTGACTGTCTGACTGAGACGGTGTTTCTTTCTTGCCTATGATTTGGTAGGGGGTTGCATTCGGCCTACGAGAAGAACGTGGAGGGGGCGGATCACCATCATCACGATGATCAGGTGATATTCCGGCAGCCGCAGCAGCAGCTAAAAGAGGAGGACAAGTTCTGCTACTGGGAGCCTCACCCGCACACCGGAGTGTTCGGTCCGGCCGCCGCCTCCGGAGGAGCCGGGGCCTCGTCGGGCAGGGCTTCTACCATTGATGGTGGTGGCGCTGTGCTGGAAGAGAAGGCCTGGTTCCGCCCTACCAGCCTCGAGGACTTGGAGAAGCCTACCCACCTTCCTTAACAATTGACGATCATTCATCCACAGACCACAATAGTACTACTAATATATATGTATCTTCATCATTCATGATAAACGCCTAGCTGTTTGGAGGTCGCATATATTTGGCAATAATGAGGCCCTAGCTGTGGCTAGCTTCACGGGCTGGCCACCAATCTTATCTTAATTAGTATGTTATAACGTGTTCGAATGAATCATTTCATTACGTATGTACGTGCTTGGACTGCTGTGCTGTGTATGTACCTTCATTTGTGAGCGTTTGCTCATTTGTCATCTACTACTTTAGTATTGTACGGATGGTGATATAGTGTTGAATCATATTTACTCTGTATTCATATTGAACTATTGATCAGTTATTTTCTTTGAACTCTAGCTAGTTTCGTGAGTGAGCAATGCCATATCGACCCGTAAATAAAACTCACGGAAAAGTATTCAATTCAGACCGATTAGGTTAACTTGGATAAAATTCAGGGTTGACGAGTTTTAAAATGATTTGTCCAAATTCGATTTGATTTTCACTTTACTTGTACTTGAAAAGCAAAACGACATAATTCAATTACATTGACAGTTTATGGATGATATATTATATTTTACCGTAATATAGTTTTAATAATATGGATAATTTATAGATGTTATTAGTCTTTTATGACAATACAGTTGTAGAAAGAAAAAAAAAATCCCCGATAATTGTTGTAGAGAAAATTTTGATAACATAGGAATTTGGAAGTATTTAGAAGAATTATTAGTGATTATATCGGTTAACTTATAGGTGCACCATACACGTATACTCGTAGATACTTGCTCATTTTCATTGAGTTTTCACTTCTAAAATTCCATAAATGTTTTGCACATTTTTTTTTATGGACACACCTGGTGAGTTGGGTTTAAGTTTGGAGAAATCAAGCTAGCAATTGGTACGCTTATGGTTAACCGAACTGAAATTTACTGTTAACCACAACCGAAATAGAGTCATATATGCTAACCGCAAATGATTAGTGGTTAACCTCTAATTATAAAAGTGCGATTAACCATAGTGTAAACCATTTTCACCGTAACAAGGTGTCGGATTGAAGGTGTCAGTGTGCTACGACCGAGTGATATAAAAGAGGTGTACATCCCGTGGTCGATGGTGTCAAGCGAGAAGCTTTTGTATTTCAAAGAGTGGATTTCGAAGACGGCAACATGCAGGGAGGAACTGGAAAGACCTCCTAACTTTTTATTCGATTTGTGGTTAAACACAAACCGTGCGATTAGTTTATTTGGTTATTGTTTCGATTAAATCATTAACCGAAAAAACAGCCAATATCACTAACTGCCACCGCACAAGAGACTTATTGTTCAGTTTGAAATTTTAACTACAAATTGTACTGTTTCGATGCTATTAGACTAAATCCAACCCAAATGTGCATTTTTAGCCTCCCAAACTCTCAAATGTGCATTTTTACCTCCCAAAAACACTTTTTTGCTCCAACCCTAAACCTTCTAAATTTGCCTTCCCAACTCATAACCAACCAATCAAAAATTAAGAAAGTAAAAAAGAAAAAGAAAAAAGAGTAGCCGCTGGAAAGTGGAGGGCCCCATCGTGCCCCTGCATGTGGGTTTTGGCTGCCGCATGGTCCCTACCTTCTCCTTGCATTTTTCCATTTCAACTGCCATCTATCCACTCCCAAGCCCACTTCTCCAAATTTGAAAGCCAATTTTTATGTGGATTGGAGAGGAGAAAGTGGGAAAACATCCCTTTCTCCAAATTTGCATCCTTGGGTTGGAGTTAGTCTTAGCTATTTAACCATGAAACCACAACTGTATTGCCATCTCTTGTTGCTCAAACTAGCTGGGTGGTGGGTATTTGACAAATGGCCCAACTACAGATGATAGATTATGGAAGACTCCCGGGTCCATCTATCAATATCTTCTATAGTGGGCTGGGCCGAACCATTAGCTAACGAAGGGGAAGAAATGAAGCATGAAGGAGTAAGAAAGCCTGCCTCAATCAAAGAAAAATATCCGACGAGGAGGAATGATAATGGCAGGTAGCTGCCGTGTGCTGTGCTCTCAGTCAGGAGGGAGGATATCGTTTCACACAGTTTCCCAATAGAAGGAAGCTGTAAAGTGAACTGAATTCGACAATGGAGTGCCCAATTTCCCGCCGCTCTCATCTCTCAGTCCCACTGTTCTTATCGTCATCCTCGTCGTAAAATAATGGCGGGGAGCAGGGGAATGTTGCTTCCCTTTCAATTCCCATCATCCTCTCCTCCTCCACCGTCTGCCCGCTTCTCCGCCGCCACCGCCCCTCCGTGTTGTTGCTCTTCTACTCCTTCTTCTTCTCCTCCTCCTCCGGCCTCTCTGGATTCAGAACCAGACAGCCTCCCTCCTCGCAGTTTCACCTACTCTAGAGCTTCCCCTTCCGTCCGATGGCCTCACCTTCAACTCCCTCTCTCTACACCCTTTCTTCCTCCACCAACGTCCGCTCCTCCTGCTCCGCTTCAAATTCACGATGACAGCGACTACGAAGAGGAGTTAGAAGTAGAAGAGGACACTGCCGCTTCCAATCCTTCCTCCCAATCTCTCTTCTCCGATGAACATTCGCCGTCGGCCGCCAATCCTTCACGGAACAAGGTCAAGAAGATGAATAAACTGGCGCTCAAAAGAGCCAAAGATTGGAGGCAGAGGGTCCGTACCTTAACCCAATCCATCCTTGAATTGGGTCCCGACCAATTCGTCGCCGACGTCTTGGACCACCGCCGCGTTCAGATGACCCCGACTGACTTCTGCTTCCTCGTCAAGTGGGTCGGCATCCACAGCTGGCACCGCGCTCTGGAGATCTACGAGTGGCTCAATTTGCGCCGCTGGTACTCCCCCAACCCGCGGATGCTGGCCACCATCTTGGCGGTCCTCGGAAAGGCCAACCAGGAAGCCCTGGCTCTCGAATTGTTCACCAGAGCCACCGCCGATCCCTCCTCCGGAGACACCGTCCAAGTCTACAACGCCATGATGGGTGTCTATGCCCGCTCCGGCGCTTTCCAGAACGTCCACCAACTGCTTGAAACAATGCGTCAACGAGGCTGCCAACCTGACCTTGTCAGCTTCAACACCCTCATCAATGCTCGCCTCAAAGCTGGTCCTTTCACCCCCAACCTCCCCATTCAGCTCTTGGACGAGGTGACCAGGTCTGGGATTAGCCCCGACACCATCACCTACAACACCCTCATCACCGCTTGCTCCCGCCATTCCCACCTGGACGAGGCTGTGAAGGTTTTCCGCCATATGGAATCACGTGCTTGTCAACCTGACCTCTGGACCTACAATGCCATGATCTCAGTCTACGGCAGATGTGGGCAAGCTTCCAAAGCCGAGCAGCTTTTTAAGGAGTTGGAGGGTAAAGGGTTCTCCCCTGATGCCGTCACCTACAACTCCTTGTTGTATGCTTTCGCCAGAGAAGGGAATGAGGCCAAGGTGAATTCGGTTTGTGATGAAATGGTCAAAATGGGGTTCCACATGGACGAGATGACCTATAACACCATTATCCATATGTATGGGAAGCGTGGTCAGCATGACCTTGCATTACGCATTTACAGAGACATGAAATCAGCTGGTCGGAATCCTGATGCTGTTACATACACTGTGTTGATTGATTCACTTGGAAAAGCCAGCAAGATTGAAGAAGCTGCTGGCGTGATGTCTGAGATGTTGGATGCTCAAGTTAAACCCACTCTTACAACTTACAGTGCATTAATCTGTGGGTATGCCAAGGTAGGGAATCAAACTAAAGCTGAAGAAACTTTTAACTGCATGGTTCGGTCTGGAATTAGACCTGATCAACTAGCATACTCTGTGATGTTGGATATCTTCCTTAGATCTAACAACACCGACAAGGCAATGGTGTTGTATAGAGAAATGGTCCGTGATGGTGTTTCCCCAGATTGTACCCTCTATGAAGTAATGTTTCGATCTCTTCAAAATAAAAAAAGAGCAGAAGACATTAAAAGCGTGGTCAGAGATCTAGAACATGTGTGTGGTCTGGACTTGGATACCATATCTTCTCTTCTTGTCAAGGGGGGATGCTATGAAGAGGGTTCAGAAACGCTGAGGCGAGCCATTGTCAATGGCTCTGACGTTGATCAGGAGGATCTTTTATCTATATTGAGTTCCTACAGTTCATCTGGAAGACTTGCTGAAGCAGTTGATTTGCTTGATTTCTTGAAGAAACATGCTTCTACGTCCAAACAGTTAATAACAGAAGCTTCCGTTGTCGTGCTGTGCAAGGCTAAGCAAATGGAAGCTGCTCTCAAGGAATACAGTGATTTGCAACAGTTTGGAGGAGGGCCTTCAGTAAGTTCTGTGGTTTTCGAGTGCTTAATTGAATGCTGTGAAGAAAACAATCTATTTGGTGAAGCCGGTCAGATATTTTCTGACATGAGAGCCAACTGTTGCACTATCCCTGACTCTACCTTCGAATGTATGATACTCTTGTATTGTAAAATTGGCTTCCCTGAGACAGCACAACATTTGATCGATTTGGCAGAAATTAAAGGTTTGCTGCTGCACAAGACCTCTATTTATGTAGAAATTATAAAATCCTATGGTAAGTCAAAGCTTTGGCAGAAAGCAGAAAGGTTAGTAGGGAATGTAAGACAAACAAGTGCAGTTCTAGACAGGAAGATCTGGAATTCCTTGATAGCTGCTTACGCGGAAAGTGGATGCTACGAACGAGCAAGGGCGGTCTTCAACACAATGATGAGGGATGGCCCTTCTCCTACGGTAGACTCCATTAATGGCCTTTTACAGGCTCTGATTGTTGATGAGAGACTGGATGAGCTTTATGTGGTCATCCAGGAGATGCAAGACATGGGTTTCAAAATAAGCAAGAGCTCTATTCTTTTGATGATTGACGCATTTGCTAGGAGTGGGAACATTTTCGAAGTGAAGAAAATATATCAAGGAATGAAGGCTGCTGGTTATTTCCCTAGCATGCATCTTTACAGGGTGATGATTGAATTGTTATGCCGAGGGAAAAGGGTAAGGGATGCTGAAGTTATGGTTTCTGAAATGAAAGAAGCAGGTTTCAAGCCTGATCTTTCGATATGGAATTCAATGCTCAAGTTATATGCTGGAACTAATGATTTCAGAAAGACAACTCAAATATATCAGCAGATTAAAAATGATGGACTTAATCCAGATGAGGAGACTTACAACACATTGGTCGTAATGTACTGCAGAGAATGTCGGCCAGAGGAAGGTTCATTGTTGATAAGTGAAATGATAGGGTTAGGACTGGAGCCTTGGTTGGGTACCTACAAAAGTTTGCTCACTGCGTTTGGTAGGATGCAATTGGTACAGCAAGCTGAGGGACTATTCGGCGATTTAGTGGCAAAAGGATATAAACTTGATCGGTTTTTCTACCATTCAATGATGAAGATATATAGGAATTCAGGAAACCATGGAAAAGCTGAGGCACTGTTGAGCACTATGAAAGATGCTGGAATAGAACCCAATGTTTCTACAATGCACTTGCTTATGGTGTCATATGGTGGCTCAGGCCATCCTCAGGAAGCTGACAAAGTTCTCGACAATTTGAAACAAACAGGCGTGGACCTCAGCACACTGCCATACGCCTCTGTCATCGACGCTTATTTTAGGAAAGGAGAGTATAATGATGGGATAAAAAAACTTGAGGAGATGAAGAAAGATGGTTTTGAAGCAGATCATAGAATATGGACATGCTTTATCAGGGGTGCAAGTTTGGCCCAGCAGAGTAATGAAGCTATTAAGCTTTTACATGCTCTGGGAGCTGCTGGGTTTGATCTTCCAATCAGGTACAAAAGTGCTATACGTTCTAAGAAGATTCTCATTTAATGTTCTATACTCTGTCCTATGATACTCGGTACCTGAAGAGATTCTGATTCGTATTGCAGGTTTCTGACTGAAAATTCAGAATCACTAGTTCCAGCAGTGGACAATTGTCTTGAGATGCTAGGACCGATGGAAGATAATGCGGCCTTTAACTTTGTAAATGCATTGGAGGATTTGTTGTGGGCATTTGAACTTCGAGCCACTGCGTCGTGGGTTTTTCAGTTGGCGGTCAAGAGGGGTATCTATCCCCATGATGTGTTCAGGTCAGTACAGAATCTAACAGATACTTTCTCAACTTGGTAATGTAATATGTAGATGGAAGAAGCGAGTTTTTTTTTCTTTTCATGTGACCGCAGTGTAGGTTCTTATGAATGCTTCATGTCAGTTCTGCGTTCTTTTTTGGTCCATGTGAGACAGGGTGGCTGACAAAGACTGGGGAGCTGATTTCCGGAAGTTATCAGGGGGCGCAGCTCTAGTTGGTCTCACCTTGTGGCTGGATCATATGCAGGCAAGTAGTTATCCAATCCCAATGCTTTTAGTAGATGACACTGGATGATCGTTTGTGTCCCTGACAATTTTTACCTTTTTATTCTTCCACTTGTGCATAAATGGTGGCAGGACGCATCTCTGCAAGGTTACCCCGAGTCTCCCAAATCAGTGGTACTAATAACCGGAACAGCCGAGTACAACATGGTGTCACTCAGCAGCACAGTGAAGGCGTATTTGTGGGAGATGGGGTCGCCATTCCTTCCTTGCAAGACACGGAGTGGTCTTCTGGTTGCTAAGGCTCACTCCCTGAGAATGTGGTTGAAGGACTCCCCATTTTGCCTCGACCTAGAGCTGAAGAACTCACCAACCCTCCCAGATTCCAACTCGATGCGCCTCGTTGAAGGTTGTTTCATGAGGTCCGGCCTGGTTCCTGCTTTCAAGGAGATCACCGAGAAACTTGGGGTTGTTAGGCCCAAGAAATTCGCCAAGTTGGCTCTGCTGTCTGGTGAGAAAAGAGAGAATGCCATCAAAGCTGATGTGGAGGGCAGGAAAGAGAAGCTTGAAAAGTTGAGGAAGAAGAATGGTGACCGCCTCCAGAAGGAGAAGCGGAGGACCGGGGCAATGAAGAGAAGAGTATTTGTTAGAAGCAGAGGAAGAGACAGAGGGCATGCTCCTGCTACTTTGCTGGCGTCGGAATCTGAAGTCTTGCACACTGACATCGCACCACGAACGCCAGAATGATTGCTAGGCATCAAAAGAAATTTTAATATAGGTTAGTGATTGGTTTAGTATATCTTGCTAGCTTCTGTATTTAATATAGCGTCATCTGTGCATTTTAAATACAGTACATCAGAAACATCGACGATAAACGAGTACATGCGATTACAGTGCAATCTGTGAAATACATCCAACCAAATGTCTGGCAAGCTTTACAATCAGCCACCATAATCTGTTAGCAGTTCATCTACTTCTGAACATCCCTGAGCCTTGAAGCATTCGACTGTACTCTGTAATAACACCAGAACTCTTCACTAACTCCCATATCTTCGCTGAATTCTTTAACCAGTCCCTCTCTGAGACTGGCCTTGCAAACGATGGACAGTTCATGGATAACACCTGACGCATACAGAATCCAGTACTTTATTGCTCTGCAGTAGTTGGCCGAAGGAAAACAGAGATACAACTCATTACAGAGAGAAAGAGAGTGACCTTATCTCGCAATTTCCATAGAACAGAAAGGTGACTTTCATACTGAGCTCTTGGAGATTCATTTTTGGTCCTGGAAGGGATCAAATGTAAATTTAGCAGCATGCTGCTATCCTTGGAATTTGAAGTGTCGGAGAAGGTCTGCTCTTTTGGCACGCTTCCAGATTTCTTTTTTGTGAATGAAGAGGATCCAAAATATCGTGTTAATGCCTCCCTCAGTTGCGAGTAATACTGTGGAGTGCAATTTTCATCTTGTAATCTGCAAAACAGAAAGATGAGTTATGCGAAATAACACAAAACACACGAGAAAAAGAAATGGAATTCAGCTTTATTTATTTCCTATATAAGAAGATTTCCAGTAGAATTGGCTCTCGTCACTGGCAAATTACATCCCGAACCTAGAGTGGGGGCTATAAATACAAAGCACAGAAGGTACAAGATTTTCGGTTGCAAGCTTTGGGGGTGGGGGGAGGGGGCTAAGTAATCTCTTTGCTTTGTCTGTATTACTATCATCTAAAGTGTTGGCAACAGGAGGTAGCTAAAATCATGCTCAACTAGCCAATGGTTTCAGTGAACACAACTATGGCCAGATAGGTCCGTCAGCAGTCAGTTCTAAAAATCTTCTATTGAAGATTGAGCAGATTAATCTAATACTTAATTTTATTCTCTGCCAAGGTAATAAGATAGCACCTACTTTGTGTGCACAAACACAGGAGTAGCTATGTAGTTTTCCTCAAAGCTTTTGTCTTTGTTGTCTCTTTCTGTTCCCGAGACACTGCTCGTGGAGGTTAGCGAAGATGGATCAGGTATGCCATGTTTCATCAGGTCCACCTGTTGAAAACAGAGATAACTTATAAGCATGTTCACATTAGATGGTGCAATTGGCACCCAGAGTAAACAAATAATACGAAACAGAATATGGGAGGAGAACACATAGTCGATAATCAGAGATAGAAACGTTTTCACCAAAAGCTTCTTGTCATCCTAACTTGAATTCTACTTTACTCCCATAGAACTTCATCTAAGATACTTGCGTGCCACATTGCTTTAGCGTCTTAGTTCAGAATATAGAACTAAATGCAGTCCACTTTACAACATGGTTCGACAGATAAGAGTTAGAAGAGAAAGGATGTAAAGGTGTAGTACCGTTGACATCAAATGCCACATACTGTCATCATGCGTGCCATCCGATATCACCAGTACAACATGACAAATGGATGCCAGCAGCACACCAAGCTAGAAGGATTCCTTGCAGCACCGGCCAAACGAAATAAGGAAGGTAACAAACTCAGATACACTGACCCCAGTGTCATAAAAAAAAAAACTCAATAAGATGGACATTGGCATTATTGTTACCTGGATGCACATAACTTCATGTGCCAACTCGGCAGAGAGATTCTCACCACCATTTAAAACGGGTATCGTGGGCGAACCATCTGGTCTCATCATCTCAGCTAAGATAGATGGACTAAATACAGGCTGCATGAGATGAAAGAGTGGAAGTAAACTTAAATTTTAAAGAAAGCAAGCAAAAACGTGGAGACAGACAGGAAATGGAAGGAGAAAAACAAACCTGTGTATCAAGAAGTATAAGCCGCTCAGAAGATATCCTAGGTTCAATTCCTACAGTACAATGCCTTGCCGTTACCCTATTTTCCTCTGATTGTACATTGAATGGTGGCAGCATTCCTACATACATTCCATCAAACCAAAGGTTACCTTTCAGAATCAAAGAGCGCTAGTTGCGAAGATAAAAGCTAACTGAGTGGCGTCATAATTCTCAGCCGCATCGGAAATGTAAGTTGTAAAGCAATCTCCGAAGGGCATCAGCCTAAAGTCCTAAACCCAAAACGCCATAAGCCACAGAACTGCTGATCTGATTCAACTGGAATTCATTTTCGGCTAAAAACGACTCACCGGGTGAAGTTCCATCGAAGCCATAAAGCTCGTTCATAATGGTCGATTTCCCAACACCAGGGGGTCCAATCACTCCAACCACTGTGAAATCAGTGTTCTCCGTCAGGAACTGCTCATTTAAAAGCAACAAACCCAGAAACAAATCAGTCATTTAGGGTTAGAAATTATTATAGGAGGGAAAAGGAGACAGTAACGCAAAGAAGGGAGAAGTGGCGGTCAGAAAGTTACAGGGAGGAATCGCTCGAAGTGAAAGTCCCATGAATCGGGAAGTAGATTGAGAGCAGGTAAACGTGAGCGAGGATGCGGAAGAGGTTCATCATCGGCAGCGGGAGTTTGGCGGCCGAAATTTCCGAGGACGGGACCAGCGGTGGCGATTGCAGAAGGCTTAGCTAGGAGGATTTTAGGAGGTGGAGACGGCGACGTAGAAGCCATAGCTCCTGCTTTCACCTTCTTGAGTCTTGACAGTTGAGAAAGACTTGGACCACCCGGTCGGATTCAGTTTCAACTCTTATATGGTTCGCAAGACGCGAGATGGGCCGGGATCTGCCAAAGGAGTTGCAATCAGGCCGGCCCAACTCGGCCACGTTAAAAAATAAAAACTAAATAATTTTTTGATTTTATTTTAATAGGCAGAACTCAGAAGCAGTGAGCACCTATAAACTTTTGATTTGATCAAATAGGCCAAAGTAGTGGTGTGATTATAACTTTGGGAGATTCCAAAATAAGAAAGGTAAGGGGAAAGGTGTGGATTTGAGATACGAAAACGAATATTCGATTTTAAATTTCTTACGGAATTGTATCCAAACAGGTCATAAGTACCGGGATGTGTGAGTCGAGTTGAAACTATATTGAATTGAATCAAGGCAAAATACACTTCCATAGTCATAATTTTCGCGCTTATGACAATAATAGCCACTTTTGGAGAAATACCAGATATAACCACTTTCGTCAAATACTTTACTGAATGGTTAAACTGTCGCCCTAATTTTTCTTTTATCCTACGACAATAATAGCCCTAACTTAAAATATAAAATTACTTAATTAACCTTACTAAACCGAACAAAAATCAACAAACACACGGCCGATATCCCTACATTCCCTATTGTGTTTCATCTCCTCCGAACTAGAGCGTCGGCCTCTCTCCTCCCCGCTGAACACCTATCGTAGGATTCCTCTTCGGGCGGCAATCCCTCCAATGTCCTGTCGCCGTTCAACCCCGGTTCATCTGACTGGCCACAGACCCTCCCTTCATCCGTTGGCTTCGTTTTTTGGTGGCCAAAGCCACTCTCCATTAGCTTTGACTAAATGATCTCCTTGTCCTTAGTTCTTTGATTCGGTGGGGAGTTTTGAAAACCCATATCAAACACAATTGTATATTTTACTTGTTCATTGCTTAAATTGATTAGAAGCCATGATAAGTACACGGACATGTTGGTCTTGGAGGGTGGTAGGCTGGTAGCGGCCGGAGGTGGGTAGTGGTGGCGACGGGTGGAGTTTGCAGTGATAGGTTATTTATTTTAGAATAAAATATTCTCACATGCTATGCCTATTATGATGCGGGGGAATCAACTCACTTTTTCAGATGATTTGTGGACAGATGGCAGGAAGAATCACAACAATTCCTCAATCCTAACGTCGAAGGACCTACTGGTTGGTTCAGCCAAGAACCAGAAAACCGAAGGGGGATTTTATTTCTCCAAGCCACTGCACTCAACCCCCGAGTCAGAAGAGAAGAGGAAGGTCAATCTATCTTCATTCATATGTTTTATCTATTTGTCGAAGAGAAGCAAATGAAAGGCTTTCATAAAAATTCTCGTAGAATCGAGAATGAAGTTTTCATTGCTTTTCAACTCATTTAGATCTATTATATTTTCTTTTCGGGCTCGGCGGTACCGTCGAGCCCTGTTTGCACGCCTCTTGTGGAACGAGATCAGGATAATGCTACTCAGGGACAAGATTTCTTTTTCGATTCATCCCTGGAGTTGAATACCTCATTCAAGAATTGTTTTTGAACCCATATTTGCCCAATGGATTCCATCTGCTCATGGTAAAACTTCACATGGGTTCGATGTACTTTTATCTTCAACGAATAGTGCAGCCTTTAATGCAGGACGGCCCGTCTGGCGAGTCTGGTTCCAAGAGTCTCATATCAAAATATGATCGATTTATACTAGTGAAATCAGTATTAAGCAAAGTTAGTACATCTCCAAACCCTTTCTGACGTGACTTCAAGTTCTGCCGTCACGTGAAGGAGAAGAAAGGTCGATCGAAGTACCCACTGACTGGAATCCATCTAGACATTAAAAGAAAAGATTGCCTTTATTTTATTGGAGGAGATAGGTTGGGAGTATCTCAACTATGAATAAGAATAAGACCTCTAAAGACTCCCTAGATCCGCCTCTAATGCATTCCCCCCTTTGAGTATGAATAAATATGGTTTCGAACCCTCTCTTTAAAATTCAAAGTGTATTTTCTCACGCGGATTATAACATAACAAGCGAGAGACCCCCATTAAAAAGGTTTGGCGGTTACCCACCATCCAGCATGCGAAACACGGCGATCATTAGAAATTCACGAATTAGAGATGCTGTAATATACTCTTTGTTGACAAATCAAGCCAGTCAATAATCTTAAATCAAGAAGAAGAGATCGTGACTCTGGTGAAGCAGCATTTGGAAAGAAATACAAACAAAGGAAAAGCAGATTTGGAGAATCAGAAGGATTGATTGAGACAAGGAATTCCAGGAAGGAATTCAAAGGAGAAGACCTACCATACTTGGAAGACAACGGCTAGCCAGGAAGCAGTACAAATAGCTCGCTCAGAATCAAGAAGAAGTCACTTTTCCGAGAGATCAAATTACACAGGAAACGCTAGGGATATAGCTAGTGTGATTGATAGTGAAAAGGGGTTTTAGCATTGATTCAGGAGTGAAACAGTGTTAGAGAGAAAGGGTGTTGGAAAACACAGAAGCTGGATAGCTTGGGATTGGGGTTAGTAGATAGAAATCTTGATCAACCTCCCAGGATTGGTTTGGTTGATCTCATGAGCGCATAACTGTCATAAATCAAGAGCAGCACATCTAGTGAATCGTTGGAAGTCACAAATCGTGATTTTCCAACCGTAGAGTAGTCAGTATTGGGATTCATTTTCTCCCAATACTGGAAACCACGTAAAAACCAAGCCTGTGTCTTTCATTTCAGCACTATATCTTTTGCTTGGGTTGCTTCTCTCTGTTTTGCAATTACAGGGGAGTTCGAGTCTGTTCAAGGAAACCAGGTGTTAGCGAAGGAAGAAGAAGGTGCTGAGCAGGGAAGGTAAAACGAGTCGTTTCGATAGAAGTAAGTAATTAGCAGGCTTATAATTTGAGTGGGCCGGTGTAGTTGAGCCCATCACAGGAAAGTGATTCCACGGCCTACAAACATATATTTGAGTTGGTTTCCAAATTGTCTTCGATTCAGCAATCGTATTTTTCCACCTACACTTGATCTTCCCGAAAGGGGGTTTAGGGTTCACAGGAACCAAATTAAGAACAAGAAGAAGGAGGCGTCTCGCGCTCGACGCTGCTAACACGTGGTATCAGAGCCCCGTTACCAGTTGGAAAGGGTTTCACAACCTCTGGTAGATTCAAGGATGGCATCTGGGTCAGCAAGCAACACACCACTGTATCTCGCAGATGGGTTCTCTCAGAATCGACCTCCAAGGTTTGAAGGAGTAAATTACGGGTATTGGAAAAACCGGATGGAGCTATTCGTCGGATCTACAGACCCTAAGTTATGGGCCAGAGTGATCAAGGGTCCCCATGAACTCAAGGACGATCAAGAGAAATGGTCCGATGAAGATTTCGAGAAGTTTAAGCAAAATTGTAAGGCGACAAACTTGATGTACTGTGCCTTGGGACCAGAGGAGTATCACAAAGTGGCTGGATGCAAGACTGCCAAGGAAATCTGGGACAAGTTGCAAGTCACCTATGAAGGTACTTCACAGGTCAAAATTTCTCGTATAAATGCCCTGAAACATCAGTTTGAACTGTTCAAAATGGAGGATGGAGAGTCGATTAGGCAAATGCATGAAAGGTTTACCAACATTGTGAATAGTTTGGAGAATTTAGGAAAAACATATGAAAGTGGTGATCTGGTGAGGAAAATCTTGTGGTGTCTGCCTGAGAAGTGGACTCCAAAAGTAACAGCCATAGAAGAAGCAAAGAACCTGGAGACATTAGCCATAGACGAATTGATTGGGTCACTGGCTACGCACGAAGAAAAATTGGCAAAGCCAGGACACGAGAAGGAAACCACTGAAAAGGGAAAAAGAGGAGTGGCATTTAAGGCAACTAGCCTTGTTGACGATCCTGAAGAACTCGAGGAGATGGAAGACGAAGAATTAGCATTGTTGAGCAAACAGATAAGCAGACTACTTAGAATTAGAAAAGAAAAGAAACAAGGTGGGTATGGAATTAAGCCTAGAGATTTTGACAAGAATGATGGAGGAATGAAAAATGCTCAAGGAAGAAACTTCACAAGAAATCGAGGAGAACCTAGTTCAGCAACAAAGGGGGTAAGCTCAACAGGTTGTTTTAAGTGTGGCAGAATGGGGCACATCAAAGCTGAGTGTCCTCAGTTGAAAAAGGAGAGAGCCTTAGCAGCAACATGGAGTTGCAGCGAAGATGAGGACGAAGAAGATGACGAAGTAACAGTCCACAGATCATACATGGCAGTCGCTCAAGTGGAAGAAGAAGATGAAGAACCAGCTTCTCCTGTATCCTTGACCCAGGTAAGATCTGCGCAACTAGAACAATTATATAACTCTGATGATGAGTGTTGGGTGAAATTATCAACGATATTCAAACAGAGTTTGAAAATGTTAAAAACAAATATAGTAAATTGAAGAAGGAAAACGAAGTGAATCTGCTCAGATTAACAGAATTAGAGGAGGAACTAGCTTCTAGTAAAGCTAGAGAGAACCTACTCAATGACAATTTACTGAAGATAAAGGTAGAAAAGGAAAAGTGTCAAAAGGAGTGTACAAAACTTAAAAGAGAACTACAGGAAAAAGGAAGACCTCATAATTCTGGAAAACGAATAGAAAGTAATCGAGAAATGGTTGAGTGCTACTACTGTCATTCTCTTGGTCACAAAATTAGGGATTGCAGAAAAAGACTTAGATCAGAATCCGTGAAAAACGTGAATTCACATTGGTCTCATAGTTCAACTAAACAAGTCTGGGTAGTCAAGTCAGAAATTGAAAAGAAAAATAGTACATCCAAATGTGATCAGTATGAACGATGTTATGATTCGAGAATCTCAAATGCACCCAAGAAGATCTGGGTTTGCAAAACAAAATGAATATTGTGCTTGCAGAGTTGCCTTCAAGTGAGCATGGAGGTGACTAAATGGATTATGGATAGTGGATGCTCACATCATATGACAGGTAATAGACACCTCTTTTCGTCTCTTAAACCAGGAAACTATGGTAAAGTTTATTTTGGTGATAACAACTCTGCTGAGATAATTGGTAAAGGTCAAGTGGGAAGTAGTCCCTGCATAAGGAACGTAATGCTAGTGGAAGGCTTGAAACATAATCTAATATCCATA